GCATTAATAGCTGATCAGACAGTAACAATAGCGGTACAAGTTAACGGAAAACTGCGCTCCACAATCAATGTAGTAATTAATTTACCAGTAGATGAGCTAAAAAAAATTGCTGTAGACGCAATCTCCGATAAAATTAATGGGGGTAAAATTCGTTCTATATATGCAGTACAAAATAAGATAGTTAATGTAGTGATATAGGATTTTAATTTCCTTAATAGATACACAGATTGTCTGAGTATTTTTTTGCTTCACTCGTCACAAATAAATTGCTGCAAGTTCAATAAAAATTCACATGTATAACAAAGATTGATAATATTAGTTAAGTAAGACGGTTATTATAATTATGCCAAAGCGTACAGATATCAAATCAGTATTAGTCATAGGAGCTGGACCAATAATCATAGGTCAAGCATGTGAATTCGATTATTCAGGCACTCAAAGCTGCAAGGTATTAAAGAGTGAAGGATATAAAGTAATTTTAGTTAATTCAAATCCTGCAACTATAATGACAGACCCTGAATTCTCCGACGTCACTTATATTGAACCAATCCTACCCGAAATAGTAGAAAAAATCATAATCAAAGAAAAGCCAGATGCAATACTGCCAACAATGGGAGGACAGACTGCTTTGAATTGCGCAATGAAGCTTGCAGACACTGGAGCATTAGATAAATATAATGTAGAATTAATAGGAATAAATAGAGAAACGATCAAGAAGGCAGAAGATAGAGAACTATTTTGTCGATCTATGGATAAGATAGGGCTTAAGTATCCAAAAAGCATTATTATAAAAAGTCATGAACAAATCAAGGAAGCTTTAGCATATATAGGGCTACCTGCTATCATTCGTTGAAAGTTTCACCAATAAATGAGGCTCAGATAGATGAATCCATTATCGGATGGAAAGAATACGAAATGGAAGTAATTCGTGATTGTAAGGATAACTGCATAATAGTATGTTCAATAGAAAACGTTGACCCTATGGGAGTGCATACAGGAGATAGCATTACCGTTGCCCCTGCTTTAACTTTGCGTGATGCAGAATATCAACAAATGAGAAATGCTTCTATCGCAGTACTAAGAGAAATTGGTGTCAATGCCGGTGGTGCAAACGTGCAATTCGCTGTTAATCCTAAGGAGGATGGCAGTTTAGTCGTTATCGAAATGAATCCAAGAGTTTCTCGTTCTTCTGCGCTTGCCTCAAAAGCTACAGGATTTCCTATTGCAAAGGTTGCAACCAAGCTTGCTATTGGCTACTTACTTGATGAAATACGCAATGATTGTGCACCAATAATACCTGCTTCATTCGAGCCAGCTATCGACTATATTGTCACTAAAATACCACGATTTGAGTTCGAAAAATTCAAAGGTACGAATTGTGAGCTATCAACTTCCATGAAGTCAGTGGGAGAGGTAATGTCAATAGGTCGCACTTTTAATGAATCACTGCAAAAAGCTTTACGTTCTCTTGAAACTGGACTAACAGGGCTAGATGAGGTGTTTCCTAAAGATACCGATGTCGACTATATAAAATCTCAGCTAGCTAAATTACTACCAAATAGACTACTGATCGTTGCTGATGCTATGCGCTTTGGAGTTAGCATCGAAGAAATCAATTCTATTACTGGCTATGATTTTTGGTTTCTATACAACATAAAGCAAATTATCTTAGCTGAGCAAAAAATTAAAGAAGGTGGATTACCTGAAACTGCACATGAAATACTACAGCTAAAAAAAATGGGTTTCTCGGACGCAAGATTGGCTAAGCTGTCACGTACTGAAATGACGTCAGAGCAGATAGAAAGTATCAGAAAAAAATTCGATATTAAACAGGTCTATAAGCGTGTTGATACTTGTGCCGCTGAATTTGAATCTAGTACTGCTTACATGTATGGCTGTTATGAAGGTGATGTTGTAAATAAAACTGAGTGCGAAGCAAGCGTCTCTAATCGCAATAAAGTTGTAATTTTAGGTAGTGGACCAAATCGCATTGGCCAAGGCATTGAGTTTGATTATGCATGTGTGCATGCAGTCTCTGCAGCTAAAGAAATGGGATTTGAGACAATAATGATCAATTGTAACCCAGAAACTGTTTCAACTGATTATGATACCGCTGACCGTTTATATTTTGCACCTTTAATTGCAGAAGATGTGCTGGAAATACTGGAAAAAGAGCAAGAAAATGGCCTGTTGGTAGGAATAATAGTTCAAATTGGTGGCCAAACACCTTTGAAGTTAGCAAAAGTGCTTAATGAGAGAGGTTTCAAAATCTTAGGCACTTCTTTCGATTCTATAGATCTTGCAGAAGATCGAATGAAATTTAAAGATCTTGCTTCAAAGCTAAATTTAAAACAACCGGAAAATTCTATCTGTCACTCAGTTGATGAAGCTTTCAGTTGCATAGAAAAAGTCGAATTTCCATTACTAGTAAGACCATCTTACGTTTTAGGCGGCCAATCTATGTCAATAAAATATAGTATCGAGAGCTTTAAAGAGTATGTTTTAAATCAAACTAAGATTTTTGAACACGGTCCGTTGTTGCTTGATAGGTTTTTAGTTAATGCAGTTGAAGTTGATGTTGATGCAGTATGTGATGGAGAAAATGTTTTCATTGCAGCTATTATGGAACACATAGAAGAAGCTGGTATTCATTCAGGTGACTCAACATGTTCAATGCCAACAAATACATTAGATGATGAGATAATTAAAGAAATTAAATCACAAACTACGAAAATAGCCCGTGCGTTAAAAGTTATAGGCTTAATGAATATTCAGTTCGCTATTCAGGAAAATAATATATATGTACTTGAAGTAAACTTAAGAGCTAGCCGCACTATTCCTTTTATCTCTAAAGCAATTAATATACCTATAGCAAAACTTGCCACGCAGGTTATTTTAGGTGAAAAATTGAATCAAAAAAATAAAATATTTAACTATTTTGCCGTTAAGGTCNCAGCTTCATATTTAAATGATAATGGCCTTATTGCAAAAGCTGTAAATAAAGTGAGAGAGGGGAGACCTCACATAATTGATATGCTAAAAGATGGAAAAATAAATTTAGTAATCAACACTTCAAAGGGCATAAAATCAATACCAGATAGCAAAGATATCAGAAGAACTGCCATTTTACAAAACATAGCCTATAGCACTACCACTTCTGGTGGTAAAGCCTTAGTGCTGGCAATTCAATATATAAAAAATAGTAAATTGAAAATCAAATCACTACAGCAGATAAACTAGCT